GAAATTGCTAAACATTTTCGTCTAGTACTGTACAGTTCTAGCCTATCTCCTAAGACCGCCCATCGAGAGCTCTGCTCGTTCAAGCTTGTTCTAACTATTTCTGTCTTGCTCACGCCTAGTGTGTATTCTTTCTATCTTCGCGCAGATTTCTTCAAGGTCACAATTCTAACAAATTGAAATGGACTGTAGTTGGCTGTAACAGTTGATAGTAGTATCTATGACGACCATAAAAACACTCTCAGTGTGTGCGTTATATTAAGTTGAGGTGTAACCGAAGGATTAATAAATTTATTTAAATGCAACTTGAAATAAAAAATAATATCAGGTTATGGGCTTTTCTTTAATTTGAGCATATAACATATTGATATTGAAAAGTTAAAGAATTGCGAAGGAAAAACTTGTTCAGAGTTCTGAACGAGGTTGGATGATGGAGAATAACAGTAATATCAACGTGGTTAAGCTGGAGGGTTCCAAAAATTTGAACATTTGGAAGTTTCAAACGACGGTGCAGTTGAGAGGCCATGGCTGGCTGGACATTGTGGAGAGAAAGTGTATTAAGCCTAAAAGTGCTGCTGAAATACCTTTATGGGAAGCTAAAGATGCTAAGGCGCAAGCATTATTGGTCACACGGATGATATGTTACACATCATCACGTGCACGAGCTCAGCGGAAATGTGGAGGAAACTTCAAGATGTATATGAGCTGAAGACGGAAACAAGTGTAAATATAATACAACAGAGATTTTTCCAGTATAAATACGAAAAAAGAATCGATATTTCAGTCTTGTTATCCAAGATCCAAGAAATACAAAATCAATTAAAACAGATGGGAGAGGAAATCTCTGACAAGTTTGTAATTACAAAAATGTTAATGCCTGATGAATATAAACATTTTGTGTCTGCGTGGGAATCTGCATCTGAGGATAAGCAAGCAATTGACTTGATGGCCCGATTATTAATTGAAGAAGAAAGAGTGAAAGGAAAAAATTATGAGTCCCAGTTAACTTTATCGTCATCTGCGTTCGTCGTGAAAAACAAGAGACCTGTAAAGTGTTATAAGTGCGGCAAAAATGGACATTATCAAAATGAATGCAGAAGTAATAAAAATTACAGCGAAGAAAAAGTAAAAAATAATAACTGCTTCTACTGTGGAAAGTTCGGACAATAACCTAAAAATGTCTTGTAGATGGGCTTTCGTTCTTTGAATTCGTGTGTGGTACTGTATATTATTAAAATTTGATAAATAATTTAATAAAACTGCCCATTTTGTCTAATATAATCCCTGTGATAGCTGTTAACGTTTCCAAAAGAACAATGCAGGGCACACTTGAAATAAATTGTGTATATAAATAATACCCGTTGATAGTTTAATAACGGCCAATAAGTAATGGATTATGTATACTAAATAATTTATCCTGTAAATTTGTAATTTCCATTTTATGCATAAATAAAATATAAAATAAAATTAAATGTACCGTACCTTTGAAGGCAAGATTAGTATCAGTGCCAACTAACGTACCGCAACCGCCATGAGTAGAACAATACGCAGCCGTCAAGAAAAAGTTTATTGTACTTCTAGTTGGTATTTTTGCATCAGCTTTTTCTTCTTCAGTTAGTTGCTCGTAATTAGGGGGATAAGTATACATAGGGCCCAAATCATTACGTTCTAGTTCTTGTAAACAGGCATCGACAATGGGTATCATCATGGCGGTAACTGCCGTATTCACCATAAACATGGATATACCCATGGTAATGAGTGAAAGACCCAAATGTAGTTTGCGGTGACTCGTTCCCACTAATAAGATCCAATTTAAAGCAACACGTACACTCAATCCACTGGACTCTAGAGATACGACCATTATGTATCCGGCTGAAAAATAGTTTTTTCGTGTAAAGAAGATTGCTGTAAAAAATATACGAAGCCTTGAAAATGTTTCTTTAAACTGGGCACGTATTTTATCGTTGGTAGTACGGTAGGGGAAAAACGCACATTTTCGTACATATAATTCGACGCTCGCGAACAATTAATTTAGAAATTCGAAAAAGATTGTTAAAGGTGTATGTTTGGAGTGCGGCGCTGTACGGGTGAGACAGAAAAGAAAAGGTTAGAAGGATTCGAAAAGAGGTGTTACAGGCGAATGAGGAGGATACCGTGGATAGAGAAGGTTAGATATGAAGAGATAATATTAGAAAGAATAGGAGAACAGAGGACTATGGAAGTTAATAGAAAATAGGTGAGATAGGTTGGTTGAACACTTTCTCAGGCATGAAGGTCTAGTCAGAGACATATATATATACAACGACTTTGTTCTGTTATTATCATTATTTTTACTACCATAATTTTTGATAATACAATCACCTTCATTAGAATATTTTTATCAACCTAGGTACTNTATTACAATGTGTAAAAGATCAGAAACAAAATGGGGTTGTAAATATTTTGATATAAAATGATTGATGTTGATTTTACATCAATAAAATTATTTGCAACGGTCATGTCGCCTTCAATAAAAAGAAGTCACTTATAGTCACTAATAGGACATCTTCTCAGGCATGAAGGTCTAGTCAGAGACATATATATATACAACGACTTTGTTCTGTTATTATCATTATTTTTACTACCATAATTTTTGATAATACAATCACCTTCATTAGAATATTTTTATCAACCTAGGTACTAAGAGGTACTAAAACTTTGATATAAACCTATCAAATTTTACATCTTATCTTATTCATATACAGAAGGAATTGTTTAAAGCACCACCGTCACGATTTTATAATGTGGACTTTTATGCAAATACCTACCAACAAAAATCACATTCGCTGAAGAAAAGTAGGCTTTAGAGACTTCACTACAATCGAGTATTCCTAAAAGTGGAAACCATACTACGGGGAACAGCCCTGTCACTGCTAGTGGTATGCATTGAGTTACCCAATAACCAGCCATTAGAAGCAGTACATAGAGACATCTCGTTGTAGAGCTTACCCATATCAACGGTATCGGTAGTATTAAAAACGGCCATAGGACCATGAAAAGTGACTTCCAATAAAGTTTAAAAAAAAGTTTGTACCAGTCTTTATACATTGGTAATTATTCTTCTGCAAATGTAAAATTCCGTGTACTAGTTTAGTACACACTACTATTACACTCGTTAAATATTTGACATAATGTTTTTTGTTTTAATATCCTCGGCAAACTTTGCTTATAATCATTATATTATAATTAAACACAAATAAATTTCTGATCCTAATGTTATATTTAAATTAATGAATATAATATTTCACGCATATTTTTGATCCTAATATTGATAGATTATCCATCTCAACTCAACCAAAAACTTAACAGGGTTCCACAAATTCTTAGGCGGCATTTGCTGGCGGAAAATAGAACCATTATAAAATATTGTTTACTTGAGAGGTAGGTTTCTTGATGGAAATTATGATTTAGGAAGTCAGATAAGTCAGGACGGAAGGAGTAGTAGGGATATAAAGCAGAGGATAGCGCAGGGTCGAGTCGGCTTCAATAAAAAGAACTCACTTCTATGCTCGCGAACAATTAATTTAGAAATTCGAAAAATGGACAGTGGGCGCGGCGGAAAACAAAATGTTAAAAGCGTTCGAAATGTGGTGTTACAGGCGAATGATGAGGATACCGTAGATAGAGAAGGTTAGAAATGAAGTCATTAGAAAGAATAGGAGAACAGAAGCCTCTATGGAAATCAATAAGAAATAGGCGAGATAGGTTAGTAGGACACCTTCTCAGGCATGAAGGTCTAGTCAGAGACATATTAGAGGCAGAGACGGACGTTAGGAAGGGTAGAGGTAGACCTATATTAGATTACTGTTCACAAATAGTTAAAGATATGGGTTGTTCTAGTTTTAGGGAAATGCGAAAATTAGCTCAGGATAGGAAAGAGTGGAGGTGCGTGTCCAACTAGTCTTAGGACTGACTACCTTATAATGATGATGATTTGATGACTAAAAGTAGTCTTTTTCGAAAAAAAACTTTTTTATTTAAGGAATAGCTTAAATTAGTATATTTATGAAAAACGCAGGAAAAAAAGCGAAGGTTTTTTTTTTTGTAAATAAATATTTTATAGATACATAACCAATACGAATTTCACAGTCACTTATCATAGATAACAGTCACTACTCAGCCGTTTCTGACTTCGCCTCTATAGTTCAAGTTGCATTCGCCTAAGAAGTGATATCCGCTCAACCATCGACGTTCACTAATGGACATGCCTTAGCTGTCAGAATTGTGGTACAACAAAAGAAAGAGATGGAACAAAGTTTCGGACAATATCCATCTCTATCACGATAGTGCATAAGCGTGTGATGAAAGAGATAGCACTAGCCCGAAACCATACGCCATCTCCCTCACTTTTCGAGCAAGAAATTATTACAACGACATACGGCTACATTAATATATTTACGTCTTTGCGCTCAACAGTCATTTATACCATATAAATAGATATAAATTATTACCAATAGAGGAAGGTACAGGTATAATGTAAATATATTGTTGAGAATTGATCAATTGACGGCTGACATGATCTAACCCAGCCTTCACCCTATCCTTATCCCACACTTACTGTTTTATATAGAGTCAAAATTGGTAACTATGTAAGTATGATATTTTGTATAACTAAGTTGGCAAGCGATAAGCTACCGTTTGATAATTTTCATGTGACAGCGAAAAGTGAAATTGAATGACGAGAAGGAAACGTTCTTCGAATTGTAATCTCAATTAATCAAACGTATTGCGCAAAAATCGGTTGATTGTCTTGCGAGAGTTTTGTTAATCAAAACAAGTATTGTCAGAATATTCAAAAGGTACCTTTTGAAACTGCAAAATAAAAATTCAACAAACTGTCAACGTTGGGCTTAGTTTATTTACAACCAAGGAACCCAGATCCACTAAATAACAACAGGTTATGGGACCAGAAAAGCTGTAAAAGGGTTTCCTTGCAAGTCAGGACAGAAAAGCAAGCGCAAGTCGAGAAAAATAGTCCAGAGTGTCAGAACCGGAAGGCACAGCAAGGCAACGTTGAGCAACGTACACGCAAGTCGCTTTAAGTCAAAAAATCGTCACGAATGATTCAAAATGGATACTGTAAAGTCTCAATTGGAAATGTTAAGCGAAGATAGTCAAGGAAATGTCAATTTCATTTCATGGCGATTTAAATTAAACCTAGCACTTAAGAATAAGGACTTGTACGACATTGTAACAGGTGCAAAGCCCAGACCAGCAAGTGCTGCGTCAGTGGATACCGTTTTAGCTTGGATAAAGAAAGATGTCGAACCTCAAACGTTGATAGGTTTAAATATAAATAGTAAGATTGCGAACAAAATTGCAAATTGCAAAACTGCCAAAGACATGATAGATAAATTAGTTAGTTTGTATGGTACAAAGACTGATGTAACTTTAGAAACGTCCCTAATCAAATTATTTACCTGTAAATTTTGATAAAAACAAGACTGCAATTGAAAACTGTATGGAGATTTTAGATCTTGCTCAAGAAGTCTCATCCCATGAAGGAAAACTGGATCATGACGAGGATCACGAGTGTGCTTCCGCCAAGACTGGCACATTTCAGAACAACCTGGGACAATGTGACCGGAGCAACAAAGACTCTCATGGAACGATTGTAACTCGAGGACGAGCGACTTAGAGAAACGACGACAAACACAGAGGGCAGCACCAACAACGCTCTCATGGCCAGACGTGAGAAACAGGGACAGTCGTCTAACAAAAGGCAGAACAAGTCACAGCTCGCATGCTACAAATTTGGGAAGAAAGGTCACGTGCTCAAGGAGTGCAAGGGCAAACCATGTGAGAAATACATTGCCTATTGCAAGAAGAAATACTCATGCAACATATGTAAGAAGAAAGAACACTTCGCAAGAGAATGCGAATCCCATGAGGATGCGAACAAGTCAGGAAACGGGAAACCTCCGAGGAAGGCTTTTTTGACCACGGCACTCTCAACGGTGGACAATGACATTTCGAAGGACAGGGCAACATCGTGGTATCAGGACTGCGGAGCCAGTCAACACATGACGTCTCATCGAAAGTGGTTTGTCCAACTGGTTGAGTTGGACGAGCCAATTCCAATTGTGATTGGAGACTCAACCAGGCTAGATGGCGTTTCAATCGGGAACATCGAAATTGAGGCTTTTGATGGTCAAAAGTGGTATCCTGTGGTACTGAAGGATGTGAGTTACGTGCCAAATCTCAACTTTAGTTTATTCTTAGCAAGTTAGATGCTGGACAAGGAATATTTACATAAAGCAAACGGAAATGAGTCAAGGTTTTACAGTCAAGATGGCAGGGAAATTGTGGCAATGGCAAAACGGAAAGGAAATCTTTACAAAATGATGCTCAGGAGAGAAGAAGAGACAAGTTTGATGGTCCAGCAGCCATTAGATCTCATGGATGTCGACACCGGCGAGATTAACATCCCGTCGCTAGGAGGGCCAAGTATTGGCTCATGTTCAAAGATGACTTCACCCACTACCGAAGCTGTTGGATGCGAATGTTATGTGCTGATGGACAGACAGAAGAGAGGCAAGATTAATAGGAAATCAGAAAAGGGAATTCTGGTTGGCTATGATATTGATTCGCCCTGCTACAGGGTCTATCGGAAAGACAAGAGAGAGATAGTGAGCTCAGACAACGTAATCTTCGATGAGGAAAAGATAAGACTGAGGCAAGGCACTGAACTTGAGACACTGGCACACCTGAGAAGCAAGAAGAAAGCGGCAACGAGACAGATGAAGAAGATGAGAACTGGGGAACTAGAGAAAGTGCCGAAGAATCAAGCGACAACGAGGAAGAGACACAACCGCCAGAAGAAGAGCCAGCAAGGAGAATTCTGTGAGATCGTCGAACCCTGCAACCACCACCGAGACTTAGAGATTAGATACTTGACTCCCGTCGTGAAGGAAAGAGCGCAAAAGTAGCCATGATTGGGGAAACTGAGGACATCCCGGTGAGCGAGGCACTCAAAGACGAGAAGTGGAGACAAGCGACGCAGGAGGAGTACGACTCGTTGATGGAAATGAAAACATGGAAACTGGTGGACTGTCCAGAAAGAGTAAAACCGATCAGTTGTGGTTGGATACTTCGTGAGAAGGCAGACGGGAGACTCAAGGCCAGACTCGTGGCAAGGGGATTTGAACAAAAAGGAGTGGACTAAGCCGAAACCCGGTAGCCCGCCATGCATCGATTCGACTACTTTTGAGCCACGCAGCGTCAGAGAAATTGAAGTTAGTGTCGTTTGATGTGAAGACAGCATTCCTGTATGGAAACCTGGAACAGGACATCTACATTTACCAACCCGAAGGATTCAACGACGGATCAGGAAAGGTCTGCAAGTTGGACAAGAGTCTTTACGGGCTCAAACAAGCTCCAAGGATGTGGAACCAGAGGGTCACCACGCATTTTGAAGAGAAGATAGGCCTGATCAGCACAGATGACGCCCCGTGTATCTACTATAACAATGACAAAAGCATTATGCTCTCACTCTTCGTGGATGATGGATTGGTAGCTGGTAAAAATGAAGATTTAATATACAAACTCTTGAGGGAGATAAGCAAGGAATTTGAGATCACATTCAGCAAGAAAGTTCAGGACAAGTTAACATACTTAGGCATGGAAATTAAGGTCAGCAAAGATGGTATCTTCTTAAATCAAATAGCGTCTGGTAGTGACTTCAACCGCCGAAGCCGTGTACCGAGCTGCGGTGTCAGTGATTGACGATGTGTGCTGGATCAAACTAATTGCACTGGAACTTGGTATCATGGAAGTTGAACAGCCGATCACCCTTCTAGTCGATAACATGTCAACCATATATATGTTACAAGATGCTCACGAAGGAAAGACAACCAGAGGGAAGAAGCAGATCGAGATACCATGAAAATACATCCAGCAACACATCGGCAACACTGTGACACTTCAACACGTCGAGAGCAGCAAGCAGATTGCAGACATCCTGACCAAGCCACTCAACAGAAGAGTCTTTGAGAATCTCCGCTGTAAATTGATCAAGGAGGAGTGTTGAGAATTGATCAATTGACAGTTGACATGACCTAACCCAACCTTGACCCTATCCTTATCCCACACTTACTTTGTTTTATATAGAGTCAAAATTGGTAATTACATA